TACGCCCAGAGGCCTTAGAATTAGAACAATGTGATTATAACCAGCATAGTGAGCTCTCCTGTGAAGACCTAGAAAGTAGGCTAATTTCGATATATTAAAATTCTAACTTGGCTCCGAGGCTTGGCGCAATAAAACAAAAGAAAACACATGAACAGAGCTCATATATTACTCACTCCGATAAAGTTAGAAAACCGATTGCCTTTCGGTCTTTACTAAAAGTGGCTTCAAGTGACTGATCATGATCTACCACTTATTAGATAATATCATTAGATAGTCACCGAGTAGGTGTTATCATAATTCCCCTGATGTATCCCTAAATTCTCAACATTAGCATAAACGATAATTATACCGGTCAGTAAGGAGAATTAATATTTCAGTCAAACTTGGGCTTGTGAATGGTTTGACATACCACACCATCTTTGGCTGTATCTTCAGGTAAGTAGAGGGCATTTTTACTGATGCATGTGGTAGTGAAAATGCAACCTGGCATGATTAACTTTTCGCGAAGAACAGTTTCATTTGTATCGCTTCCCCACTTTCCCAATATTTTAGCCTGAATTTCATTTGCCTCTTCTGGCGTCTACATGGAGCAAGCAATTAGACGAGGTGGATAAAATTACGTCGTGACTGACAAAAGAACCAAATTCTCCATAGAAAAATTCAGACAAATGCACGAAAAGCATCGTTAGATTATTAAAGAGATCTTGGAATCAACAAACGCCCAGAGAGACTTACCTGTAACTGAGGGATATGGCTGCACGATATATAAGCGTGGCTTCAGAGCGCACGTATTCGTTTTATATTTCAGGGCTGGAAAGTAACAGTATTATAACAACCCCGCAGGTGAGAAGTGTTACACAGTCGTAAAATGAGTTGAAACACATCTGGTACTATCCTGGCCGTCGGCGTCACTCTTTTACGCAATTTGTGGTGAATGTTTCAAAATTCCTTCGATCTTCTCACATCACAAACGTCACACTTGAGCAGTTTGTCCACGGTTTTGAATGAAATTCTTTCTAATTCGGAAATGCCGTGAGCTGTTTTCAAGATGAACGTGATGGGTTGTTTTGACTGCCTAAAACCATCAACAATTACTCCGGCGATCAATTAAATTCGAATTTGGAGAGATTTTACAGCTTTGTCCAAGACAAGGCACAATGCAAAACAACTGCGGTCAAAGAGAATCTTTCACAATGTAAAGAATTTCTCGAAAATTGAGGCAATGACATAAATTCTCTGTTCTTATCCAATAAACCTTTCCGTACAAGAAATGAGTCAACAACATTCTTTTAATTTTTTTCAACTCTTATACCTGTAACCTACGTAACCTTTTTCTGTTAGGACGGTCATAATTGCCTAGCGCACAAGAAAAACAGGAAAAAACAAGTCGGTGGCTTTTCTGTGCAAGGCGTGTATTTTCAGCCTGATTCGACAGGCCCGCATGTTTTGCTCGTTCGAAGAAACCACCTTGCATTTCTCCATAAAAACCTTGGAGTACCCAAAACTCCCCTTGCACAAGGAATTTCTACTTTGACTTCTTAGATCACATGTAAATAGATAAGTTGAAATGCACGCAAAGAAAGCCTCACGCTGCTGAAAGTTTTTGCACTGTATGGTATGTCTACTTTTGCCATAAAATAAATAACATCGTGTCACTCGTCGACTCTTACGTCTGTAGAAGAATTTGACTTCAAGTCAGCTGGTTTTGTTGGCAAATGTTTACTTTTTTCCGTTTATCAAAATAAATATGCGGACGAGAAATGCAACAGCCCAAAAAAAAAAAAAAAATACGAATTCATTTCTTGTAGACATTTGACATATCAGGCGTTCACGGCGACATGTTCTGATACTCCAATATTCTCATTATGATGGATTGCTGTAAATACTGCTGGATAACATTTCTAAGTTAAAATATGAAATCGCTCCCAAAGTACACCGAACACAATAAACGAACATAAACAATTTCACGAATTCTTGAATTTCCCTTGCATTGTGAACATAATGGCATTGCATGGGTCCGTCGTTTAGGCCACCTTTCGTGTCATTGGCTGTCTTAGTGGGCGGGGGCTTTTGAAGTTACTGAAGCTGAGTAAAATCGTAAATTAAAATGTGTGTCTTTTAAGAGCTGTCTGACGGTGGCTGTTAAATCTGTCTGACGTCCACTTTGGTTTTTACGATAAAGTGTCAACCGTACATTTCCTTTTGCAAGAAAATATCTTTTTTATAACTTTCAAAGCGCGGACTGTTTTAAGCCGATTTTTCTTGTGCGTCGTAGGAGCAGATAGATTCAGTCAAATGGTCTAGGTTTTGAAAGAATTTGTTTCCAAGTCAGGAATTATTTTTCGTCCTAATATGATCAAGTTTCGAAGAATGTTTGGCTGAGGATTAAAGGCAATAAACATACTTGTTCACTTAATCTTCTTGAGATTTAAACCTATATTATAATCTTATTTTGGTTTTAGCCTGTATCAATATATCTTATTAACGTCATTAACGTTTATCGGCCTGTACCTTGTTTTCATTAAGTTTCGTTCATGGATCATACTTGAAATTTTTCACTTGTTTCTGTGATGTAGAGAGTGTTGTAATGTCTTTGGTTTTAGGCGAGTATACATGTAATATGACATCAAGAATTTAAAAAGTTAGTGGCAATAGGTCTTTCGGTTTCAAGATTGAAATATAAATTCCTCTTTCTAATCTCTATCATTTCCTTCTAATTTAGCTCTGAGAACATGGAGAAACATAAAGCCGGATGATATTTCGTACCTGATTACTTTCTGGCAAGGCCTTATGCGTCCGATGGCGCGATGAGGACCGATGATGATGATGACTTTCTCAGTCAGTTCTTTAGTCGTAGATCACGGCTGTCTGATTCCACGTACTGTAGGAATGAACTCTATCTCGGACTGACTTGGCCCGCAAACGAAGCTTGCTCTTGTAAAGTTAATTTTCACGCATTACATTCTTTTGGATTTAACGTCATTTCGTAAAAATTTAAATCCGATATTGGTCGAAACCGCAAAGTGTTGGTGTCAGAAGAGATTTCTGTACCTTTGAATGAAATGACAACTTCTAGTATTGGCATGCAAGTATAGAGAAACAATCAAAAAATGAAAAGACAAATTTTGACTGATATTATGAACTGAGAAAGGAATGTTCATACAGGTATTCTTAAAACTGATTTGGTTCGATATTGAAAAGTTTTGTAAAAAAGTCGGAATGCCTGTTTATGTTGTATGTCACTTAATGCATAACGGAAATTCTTTTTGTTTTAGTGTGATATAGCCAAGTGTGATGAAGCTAAAATCAAGACGTCAAAGTAGTAACAGACGAAAATAACATTTTTAGTTTGATAACGTGATCAAGCGGCAAATATAGCACCTAACACTCAGGGTCTTAAAATAACTGAGGAGAATTTGCTACCTACTTTTGTAATTACATCTGCAAATGGTTAGACGTTCAAGTCTTCTTGTATAAGAACTATAAACCATAGGCTCCGTATCCTGTATCTTCGGTGTTACATGGTTAGCAGGAGACGTTTAAGAACCCGCACATTCAGTATCGCAAAGAGTAGGGCACAGAGTTCTCAGTGTTGTGGTCTGGTTTTGTCACAAGGGTTGGTGCTTCACATAGGGTTCACCTCATTGCACCTTACCCCCTTGCCGGACAGCCGGAATGGTCCAAGAAAAATGGCTATGTCTATGTCTACGACATTTTTATTATATATTTATTTTATTATATATTTTTAAGGTTTTTTACCCCCCACCCCCCACCCTGCTTTTTATTTATTTATTTTTTATTTAATGTCTTGCAGTGATGGGAGCATGCCTCCCTTTGCAAGACCCCCATAATGTAGATGTAGATGCAGAACAAAAACTGCAGGTTAATTTAGCAGGGAATGGGGGTAGAGTGAGATATTAGCGCTCTCCTTTTTCAGCTACTCTTTGAAACTGAAATTAACTTTTTTGGACCTTCCGCAAGAAAACTAAAACTAAACGAATAATATGCTAAGTCTCTCACGAAAATCTTCAGAATTGTTGGGAGCTATATGCAAGTTCTTTGTGATAATAAAACGATTTTATTCAAAATAAATCGTTAATTTAATCGTCTAACCTTGTCAAATACTTCAGAGGAAGGAGAGATCATTTTCGAAGATAAGTAGAAATTTTTCTACGGAAATAAAATGTAAAAATGATTACATAGGAAGAAGTACCGTTATAAATAAAGGTTCCCAAAACGAAACTGAAAGCTTAGTGCCGGGCAAGAGACTATATCATAATCTCTTGTGCCGGGTTAATGAAGGTCGTCATGTCTAATTTTACTACGGGGCTGGTTGCAAATTAAAGCTTAGCCGGGTTTTTTCAACCAAACCGCTTGTGCGCCCTTCCTCGTTTGCGTTTGACCTCTTGAAAATCATATATTTAGCACTAGTACTTATCTATCAATATTTATCTATCCAACATTACCGCTATATCAGCGATATCCTTCTGGTTCTAACAAAGCCAACGAAACGTTTGGGACTTTTAAAAAACCTTACTCCCTCGACTTGGCAAAGCGAGATGGAAGGGCAATGCTTGAAACGTTTGCTACATGACTTGGTTTATTATTATTATTTTCCTTTTATTTGACTTATTACACTTATTACCTCCCTCTACAGTTCCCCAAAATCTCACACATATAAACAAACGCGATCTTGACAAGTACCTGAGACTTTGACACTGGCGGTATAAATAGACGTTACAAAATCATGATGGGGCATCTATAATATTATTTGTAAAGTTCGTTTTCATTTTACCTTACCGTTCAGGGCTTGGAAGGGAAACCCCCGCGCATTGTTTGAAATACTTTCCGGATTACTAAATAGTCACTAAAGAGCCATTCTGTTATTAGTGTAAATCAGGTGTAAATTTTCGTGAGCGACTTCATTTTTAACAGACTCGTTCCCACTTCTCCATGCCGTTTTATGCGCCGGTGACATTCTTAGTCAGCGGATGTAACCACATGTTGTCATAGCGATCTGTTCGCACTCGCAAAACAGCAGTAGATATTTGACTTCTTAGCCAAAAGGAAACTTTAGAATCATGACGGCAGACAGTATGTTCCCTAGCAATTTGTTTTTGCGACTTCACCATTTTATATGTGATTAAGAGAGTTTTGTACTTCTCTCGTAGATCGAAGAGCAGTGGCCTTTGGAACGACTCTCGACCGCGAACTCTTGCCGCTCAAAGTTCCGGCAAACCGCTTCGGCAATGAACTTGGCTTACGAGGCGCTCCAAATCGCGGCCCAGGGTGTTATGACAATGCTGAGGTAACGAACATTATTGATTATTGCAAAGCTGTTTCTACCTTGCATTGCAAACATTGACCAGATATGAAAAATGAGTGGAATTATTCGTCAGCTGCAACTTTCGATCGATAGAACGCGTGATACCTATCTGTGTACTTCATGAGCAACGTTTGGCTTGGTAAAAAGTTATTCCACGATTTTCCAAGGATAAAACCTTATATGCTGAAAAGTCAAGGTACATCTCTTTCTTTCTTCGAACAGGGCACTGAATGATTGTTTCCGATTTCTAGATCAATGCATGTAATATTTTGTGAATGTTTTCCTGTTGGGAGTATTGAGCGCGTTCTAGTAGAGATGAAATGTCCTTTTCGGTTGTTCAGCGAGTCGACTTGATGAAGTTGAGATTTATCACAGATTTTTATTTTATTGTCTCAACAGGTCAGTGGGTTTATTTATGAACTTGAACGTCGACCCGTATGCAGAAGAGGGTACTCAGTAGGGGCTCGAACTGCTCCAAGATTCCCTAAACCAGCTCATGTAAGTTTGTGGATTTCCTTTGTGCCATTAAAAAGTCAGAACACACTATGTCCTGCCAGGTGGAACTGTTTTACTTTGAGGAAAATTTACCAGTGTCTTGCCTCTGTAGCTGAGACCGACTGCTGCTTCTGCGTTCTTGTCGTGGGATGATTCCCTGTGACCACACTATGCTTAAACACTAAGCCACATATCTTAATATCAACTTTAATTATTTAAGTTGATCAGGGTACGTGCACCTGTCACTGTAAATCCCCCCCCTGTCCCCCCCACTGCCACGCTGAGGAAACATGGGGCATTAGCCCCAGAGAAAAACCAAACAAGGATAATGCCACATATACAGGGGACATATTTTCTGGTCTAGCCCCTACCAAATGAGGGTAACGACCCACATACAGGGGACAGACTTCAGAAGTGTACCTAAATTTTCCTGCAGGAAACGTACAGCCATTCTCCCTCTGGTGCATTTTTATCAATCCCTGCACATGCATGAAAAATGGTACCACTTCATGCTGCAATTTACGCTGTCTCATCCTATCATGTTTTCATGATTATTTGGCCGTCCACAGGGACAAAGGACATCATCTCCTGAATCATCATTTGATTCTGCAAAAATGTACTAATCCCCGACCCCTCAAGGAAGGCAAAGGACGAAAATGAATTAATCCCCACCCCCTTGGGCAAGGCAGAGAGTCAAAGCCCCCACAAAGCCCTACCCATGCCCCATGTTGCCCCAGGGTGGGGGTGGGGGTTTACAGTGACGGTGCGTAACCACAGTAGAAACTATGCGAAGCTGACACTTTGAGTGTGAGCCTGTTTTCAAATCAAAGTGAAGGGCTTAAATGCTCAAAACATCAGTTTCACATACTCGCCATGGCAGTGAATTCATCTTTATCAACTATTATAAGCTGTAAGCTGATAAATAGCTTATACTAAACGTTTCACTTGCCTGCTGATGTTTTTAGTGCAGAGTGCCCTATTGGGATGGTTTAGGGGGTTGCTTTTCGGTCAGGCACTAAGTCACTAACACAATATGGTGTAAACTTTAATGTTTGTTTAATTAATTAATTTCAATTAATTAATTAGCATAGTGGTAAGGGGTGGGGTACCTCTGGTTACCACGTAAAACCTATCATACTTACGTTAGTTCTATGCTAACATCACAAACCCATATATGTTTTTGCAAATCTCTTGCAATCCTAGGGGTGCTATTCTCGTTGAAACGCTCCTCAGTTGTATTAATCAATAGCATTGTATTTTAGTTTGATATGAATAAGAACGAACTATTCCTTGACTGGACGTGACTATTTGATAATTAGATTAGTTCTTGTATTTCTGTGAACTGAAAATTTGCATTTGGAGTAAAACAAAGTCATTTGTCTTCGATTTTTCATGAGATATTTAGCTTTATTCCATTTATTTCCAGCAGTAAGTAAAAAAATACACATCTTTCTTATATTGTTGAGGAAACAAGGGTATCACGTTGCATAGCTCGGCGAGGAAAACAAAAGTATTAAGTTACATATGTTGGAGTGAAAAGTAAAATTGTCATATTTGCCACTTCTGCATATTATTGAACTTAAAATGATTGAAACTCAAAACATCACAATAAAATTCAAAGCCGTCTTGACAAACGGTAATTGTCAGTTATTTTTGGACCATGAAAGAAAATACAAACATGAAACTTACACAATGCTAAGATTCCTTCTTATCAAGTTTTTGTCCACTCACTTTCTGCTAGGGGAAAAGGCCTAGTTGACTACCAAGGGAGAGAACAGCATGTGACTACTGTATCAGAGCCGTAAATTGCACTCTGCACTATCTGAGATTGTCTCACTAGTTGGAAAATGATAACTCACCTGACCTAATCCCTAGAGAGACACTGTGAGAGTAATGTCTTGCCCAAGAACACAACACAGTGATGTTGACCAGGGCTTGAACCCAGACCGTGTGATCCAGAGTCCAGGAGTTTATTAAGCAAGGGTTTTTAATTTATCATTTTTGACAGACGTGCCTTACCATTATATCCTAAGTTTATTTTATCTCTGTGAATGCTCAGGGGTTTAAATTACAACTTTTTGACTGACTATTTGAAAACTGTTTTTAAATTGTTTCCTAGATGGATGTTCCAGGACCACCGACTCATCAAGAGATCATTAGCAAACCCATTCACTTTGATGAAGCATTCAAGTCATTTAATGTGGGAGCAACAAGATTCCCAGCGATTAACAAGGTAACCTATGCAAAGAAAGTTTGGTTTTGTGGTGAATTAAAATCTGAAAGGATATAATTTAGCATTGGGGGTAAACATGGAACACATATAGAGTATTGATGCCAGCTGCATGACTGTATGAACCATAAATTAAAGTTTGATCTACTTTTCTGTACATTCAAGGGCAAAAATTGGTCAAAATCCTTTCTTTAAAATATATAACAAATATCATCACAGAACTTTATGTACTCAAGTAGTTGTGAAATGAAAGCCTAAAAAAATTGGATTTTAACCCACGACATCTGCAATAATGGTGCAGTGCTCTGCCAATTGAGTTATTTACCCCAGTGGGAGCTGGTCAGGTTGTGAGTTTATAATAAACCCATAGATTGAGGACAGAAGCATATCACCTTGTTGAGGTGATATGCTTCTGTTGAGGAGTATGCAATTGAATATGTGAAAGATGATATATAATTGTTCAACTGCAAAAAAAGATGTAAAGACATGAATGGTCATTGCAGTTACGTACACAACTTAAGCGGCTGTGAAAATAAAGCCTGAAAAACATAATTTTCATTCCAGGCTTTACTTCTGAGTTGCTTAAGTTTGGTTCATATGCTGAACTTTTCCTCTGACAGTAGAAATTAGTAAGTAAATACTGATGAATGAAATAATTTGTAAGCAGTGTTACAAGGATTGTGTCATACTCAACTAATATTAATTTTGATTTGTCTTTGTACTTTTTCCCTTTTCAGGACCAAAGTCACCCTGGGTAAGGACACTTTGTGTCTTATTTCATGTACATGTAGTTTGTAGTGTGGTGCACTTTACTGTTAGTTATTACTGTATTTTGTTTATTATGTCACTGTAAAAATTACTTCACCGTGGCTGGCAGAGAGGGCCAATTTATAAATTACCAACACATGTACATTCATAATTTTCCCAGTCATATTAATAAATGAGTAGTTTTATGAAAGCTTGTCCAGTTAAGGAGTGATATATTGAAAACTTTTTCAAACTGGACTCACCTACAGACGTGTGCAATTGTGAGAGCAATTTTTCAAATATCACTCGTAGTGTAAATCCTCATTAATTGCACTCACACTTATACAATTACCTATGCTAAGTAGTAGACAATTTTGGCTGCATCAGAAAGATGAAGAAAAAATTGCTATTAAGGTTGAATAATGATTGATTACATGTTTCTACACAGGCCGGGAGCTTACGAGTTTGATTCTAAAAGAGATAGAAAAGTGAAGTTTCATGGCTCATTTGGTGGACCGCAGACACTGATAACATCAGTTACAATCAAGTGTAATGACTTTGGAGAACCTGACATCGTAAGTATAAGCTTGATTGTTGAGTTAACAGGTCCCAGGTTATTGCATTTTTTTTGGGGGGGGGGGGGGGGCAGGAAACTGGAATTGCTCAAGGAAAACTGTGACGTACCATTAAAATCTTGTTTTGTTCTGTTTTTAGATGCCGGATAGTACATGTGCCTGTTGTAATTGATCATGATTTACTTGAAAATTTGTTTCCCTTCTCTAGAGTGATTTCACAATAAACATACATTCAATTTAAAATAGTATTAACCTAATTTTCTTGTTCAATAAACCTGATCTACATGTAACTAATGGAGTGTGAGGGCCGTACAGGGGAATATTGGCCTGAGGTTGTGACATTAGGGATCAAGTGTAGCGAGATCCGTACAAAAACCAGCGAGGACCAATATTCCCCAGCACTGCTTTAGCAAGTGAGGTTAGAAAGTAGTTTATTATAATTATGGTACAGAGAATACATTGCTTAAGTATGGCAAAATCCTGACAGATAATCCATACTCACGGTAATGATGCAGAAAGTATATGCAGCACGGATGCACATATATGCACTACTCAGTGGAATAACCTTAAAACTGTTGTGGTCTGTTCGTGTGGTTGTCAAATTGTGCCACTTTGTATTGACTGTAATTTTTTACTGTCTTAATTGCAGTGTAATTCTTGCAAGAGTCCTCCTGTTGGAGATTACTTTGAATACAAAAAAGTTCATTTTTGTCGGAAATGTTACAATCACCATTTATCAACAGGACAGAAATACACAAAGAGGTAAGAGTTGCACCCTTGCTCACCCTGACTGTGAGGCAAACATCTCGATGTAGAGCAGTTTTCACTTGAGTAAACCAAGACCAAAGTAATATTACTCTGGCCAATCCCAAAGGCCAAAAATTATGTGGTGAGACACTGAAACTGAAAGAAAATACATGTATAGCTGTAACTGTGTGCAAGTGTGCCATGATTGGCTTAGATCTGATATCTGATGAGCTGAGAAAGTGACTGGATTTTTTAATGACTAAGTGTAGTACATCATGTACTGCACTTGTGAATTACTTTCAACCCTGATGAAGACTGCTCAATATATGCTCAGTACGAAATTATTATATAATAATGCCAAACTATTCTTGCATTTTCATTAGTTCTTACTTATGGTCTATTAAAGAACAGATGCATATATGATGTCATTACCATTTTTTTATTTCTTTATTTTATAATTTACAGATAGATATGGAATGTAGTTGTTAATTTGACACAAATGAATGAACAGTACGTGAAGAAAGGTCTGTTCCCTAAGACCTGGTACAGTCATTATTTATTATATGTCTGCACGCATTGCAGGCCTATTATGCTGGCTTATTCTTTTCTTATAATAGGTAATTTCTTAAATTTTTTGCTACAGTTATCTCCAATCGTTTTACAAAGTCAGAAACTGCTCAAACATTCATAACCATGAAGGAACAAATGCAAGATTAATGGTAAGAAAAAAAACTGGTTCCTTGAAAGAGAATATGATCACTGCAAAAGTCTTTTATGTATGTAGTATTGTAAGTAATGTATTTTATTGTACTATTAAAACAAATAAAATGTAAAAAAAAGTCTTTTATGGGGTCTTAAAATTTGCATGATTGTGCTAGGGATCCCCTAGGGATTTCCAAGGGATTCCCTAGGGATCCACACTGGCTTTGAATCAGTTATATGCCACTGAACAAACCTTATCAGCCCCCATTTTACTAAATCCCATCTTAAAAAAACGTTTGTAAAAATCATCTGGTGCATTTTTCCTCTGAAATTTCTGTTGAAATTTTTCAATCACTAAAACTAGTTTTTAGTTTGTGGAGTAAATTTTGGGTCACCTCTTAGTTATGCAGCATTCTAAAATATACGTGTATTTATCCTGTAGAGCTTTTGACTTTTTGACAAAAAGTGAACGCGGTATAATTGCTTAACCCTTCAGCAAATGCTGAAGCTTGAAAGAGAAAACAGCAAATTAATTATTATTTAAAATACAACACAGAAGTGTAATTAGTTAAAAGTGAAATAAGTGTTATAATTAGTTACAAGCGATTGAAAAATGAAATCTGAAACTAGCCAGCAACAAACAAGCATTTCTAATTGTGTTCACAAAACTTTCACCTCAACAGCTGAAAACAGAACGGGACCTCAAGAAACAAAGGTTTAGAGAGGCTTACATGAGCTTGTACTTCTAACCACTCAGGGCTGTGTCTTCTGACCGGATCGTGTATAAAGTACAAGATGAAGTGAAATTCCTTTCACCCAAAGAATTTTAGTGTAAATATGTAAATGACATTCTGGAACACTTATTTATGTAATAACACTATACAAGATTGTGTACCGTATTTTTGGTAGTGATTAGTTAGATAGGTTGCGGTGGTGATGTTCATGTTTGTCTTGTAAGCAGCCAGATATCTCCAGTGGTAAGAATACCACTAACAAGACTCGCCCGGGCTTCCTCCACTTAACTAGTAGAACTTGCATTTAAATAAAATAGCGGTTATATTGTCATTGTAAAACAGCAAATCGTTTTGGAACTCATTGAAACGCTAGTCAATCGAGCACGGTTGGCCATATCACCCTGATAACATCCAATTAAAAGCAATTCTAAAACTTAGTGAAGTTGAGTACCCAATTGGAAGCTATTCCAAAGCTTAGCTAAAACCGGTGAGCTCGCTAATTAGCGCACGTGGAGCCCAGTCAGAAACCATTCCAAATCTTGCAACCGCTTGTCGGCTAGCCAATCATAGTGTTCTTGGTAGCATACTAAGAGTTGGAAACCATTCCAAAGCAGGTAACAGCTAGTCAACTAGTCAATCAACTAACTTAATACCCAGCTAACACCCAATTTGAACCCAGTCCAGGGCCTAGCGACAGTTGGTTAGCCAACCAATCAGATTGCACTTAAACACACACAAAAAAATTGGTGAAACAATGGCTGGTGTCTTTTTCTGAGTCGCCCTGCTCATTGCAACTTATAATTTCCAGTTTTCTTTGTCCGTTGCCTTCCCGATGCTTGTCAGGCTTTGATAACAGATCGCATAAGCATATGCTTCCCCCCTCCCCCCCAACCCGTGGGTTCGGCGGCCCCCGTTCGGACAAATACATTTTCAAGTAAAGACGCAGATTTTTTCCTCATGTCCTTTGGCGCAAAGTTTATTCACGTGCGCGATCACGCGTTTAACATTTTAGGCAAGGTTCAGGAGTTCGTGCAGAAAATCAGGAATTAAAATTGATCAGCTTCTTCAGTAGAATCCTTTGTTTCGGGTTTCGGCGCTATTTTGACTAGCTCGTTAGTTTGGCACTACGCATTTTTGGCCGGAAGAATAGCTCAACCGTTGACTCATATTTAAGAGCCTCCTTAGTTTTTCGCCCACCACGTTTAAGCGGCTGATTTTGGTGCTCGGGTTAATTATGTAACACAGTTCCACCGTCAAAGTACTAGGACTGTCGCTGAACCATGTCAAACATAATTTTGAGGATGGTTGCATTCCTAGCATGCGGGCTTTGTTCCTTTGACGTCAGTGACCAAAAAAGCCTGGAGCAATGTTGTTAACACAAAGCTTCAACTCGACTGCTCATTTATCTCAAGAAATATGTGTAATTGGACGGCAATTTCACTTGTTTGAAATGAATCTTCACTTTGGAGATGTCTCGCGGTTTAATTTATACTCACTGAGGTTTTCTACGACTCGCAAATCACCCATTTCTCACTCCAGTGATGGTTACTACGGGATGCAAAATAACGAAGTTGTAATTTAGGACTTCGGCAAGTTGCCAAATTTGTCCAGCTGAATTTTCTAGGAAAAAAATCAAGAAGTGGCTGAACAACACTGAATAATACCTTGCAACTGGACAGAAGGAAAGCCACATTGAAGGCAGAAGAAATGTTCCACAGGTTTTCATCAAGAGGTAGGTTGATTACTGATACTTATCCTTAAAGGAAACACACATCGTAGTTTTCGACCGAGTTTTGTCAGACATTCCTTACCACCCGGTTGGTTAAAGTGAAACCATGTGATAGTTCACCTGCAGAGAACTCAGCTCTTCGAGCAAACTCTTTCTCGATTCTATCATGATCACCCCAGAAGTCTGAACCTTTTTAGTCCGTGCCTCGCTCTTCAAAATCAATGTTTCTTTTTAAATTTATACATTGTTTGTGCTTTAACAACTCGGTGTAAACAAAACTAACAGTAAATGATTTCCTTTGATAGTGAATTGTATACATGATATTTATTTAGTTCATCTTGGACTGGGATAATTTTTGAATAGGCGAAGTGCCTCGGGCGAGAAGGAGCTCATTTTATAAATTAGAATGATATAACGATATCGATGCGACCGGCCGGTCAGGCTAAAAAACAATTCAGATTTGAATTACACTTGATTGTTTACATACCGTGGTAAGCTACAGAATAATCTGGAAAATACGACTTTGTTTTCGTTTTGTGGAGAGATTCAGGGGACCATGCAACAATGTCAGGTAATGTTAAACGAATTCAGTTGTGGTGCATCTGCGGCGGACGAAACAGCGAAGAGTATCGACGTACTTCTGTATGCAAATGATGTGAGCAGCTTGTTCTTGGTGAGTGAGTTTCACTGTTCTCTGATAAGTCTGGATTGAAGTCCCTCTATTCCACTGTCTATGTAAGGCGCGAACTAGAACTCGAGTGAAATCTCTCTGTGTCCACGATACAGATTTGTGCTTCACGTTGCCTGGCAGTTCAAAGAATTTCCAAATTCTGATAAGTTTCACTTAACTTCCTACAGTCAACTAATTGTTTCTACTTCTTTAGCGGCCACTAAAATCACAGTTTACGCCTACCCATTTTGAACCATTCTAATCTCGTTAAACACTTCTCACGGACATTAGCTACACGAAGAGGAAAGAGTCATCACATTCCACGCTATAAAATGTTAACTAATTCACTTTACATGGAGTATACCAGCTATAATATAAGCTCAGTTCCAGTGCAAGCTTATATTGTAGACCAGGCACCTTGATGCATAACTGATACCTTTTATTCCCCTCCGGCTGTGAACCAAATGTTTTAATTTCCCTCGTCACAGGTCACTAACATTGATTCACCGTCACAGTGACTAACATTTATTCAAAATTATGTTTACTGATACTATGTAGTTTTCCAATAAAGGGAAACATCTTTTTGCTTCTTTCAGTCTTCCGGATGGACTCTGAAATCTGCGAATCCCATTCAGTTTTTTTTAGGTGCAATCTGTTTGTAGATAGAGTTTTCGGACCAGTTTTCAGCTTCATTCAAAGCCATGTTCTTGTGTACACCAAATACTGGCGAATCCCTAGCTCTGAAATTTTTAATCCTCCTTGTTTTGTGCACCGTTATTCAGAATTTCAGGTTCGGCTTGTGAGACGCATTTTTCTTTCTTGGGTAGCGATATGATGTCATCATGCACGGACAAGATCTTATTGACTGTCGCTGTTCCATCTTTCTCCAAATCTTTGATTTCGTATTTTTCGTCCAAATAGCCGATCAGCCTGCCTCGCTGTTCCCCAGTAGAGCACTGATTTGCTATCCATTGAGCTGTTTGCTTACTGATCAGTCCCAATGCATACTTTTCCCAAAGATGCGTTGATTTTCCGACTTGATATGTCAAAGCATTTTCTTCAATTTCTTTCCTCCAGGTATACTTTGACTTCTGTGGAATTTTCATCTCCTTGCTTTTGTCATCTGGCATGCAAAGCTTGTGTCTTTGAGGTACGATCCGTTTGGAATTTCCTTTCAACTTGTCTTTGTTCCTCCGCTGCTTCGTTGAAATGGAAAGATCTTTGAAATTGTACAGATCTTTCATGTCCGCTGAGAAATACGAAGATAAACTCGGATCAGCTCTGAAATGAATTACGTCCTCGGTAAATTCGAGCGGCAAGCTGCTAACTTCTTTGAGCGTTTTCTTATTAGCATAGCAACATTCCTGTGTCCCCACCTTTTCTTTAACCAAAGAACTTTGCTGTCGCTTAACTGGAGGCAATTCCAACTCTCTCTTATGAACATAATTTTGAACGAAATCATTTATGTGAAATGTTGTTGTGATTTCACTCGTTTTAGGTGTGGAGTAATCGTAACTACGGAATAATTGCGATCTGTTTGGCAGTTGAGCCAACTGCTGTTTCCTTACATTCCTCTGATTTTCCCATGCATATTTCAAAGACGGATTTTTCCACATCAATCCCGTTGCGTAGCGTTGTTTTTGCGAAGAAATAACGGCCGCTTTTGATGAAGATGAAAGTCGGCCTCCCTTTGTAGAGGGTAAAAAGGAATTTCTTTGAGTCATGTCGGCTGCAGATTCAGAGAATTGTGTTTACATTTATGAAAGGAAGAAAAAAATAAACTTGATGTTGATGGCGAGTTGCTAAGAGGGCAGATGTTGTGAGTATTGGACGAAAATTTCCAAGCAACCCGACACAGGCTTCTTCAAGTCGATTGCCATTGGTAGAAATTTTAAACCACTACGTGGTTAATTACAAACCTCAAAGACCACGGTCTCTTTGTTTTCTGGAGTTTTGTATCAAATAAAACAGTTTTACGATCATTAATGAAAGTAAAATAGCGCGAAACGGCAGGGTATAAATGGTCTACCTTTCGTTTAATGGGGCAAAGACACGCGATCATTTATGCAAATCGAATAAACAAGGATCTAATTATGTCGAAAAAGTCTTATTTTCTACAAATTTCGGTAACTATGAAGATAACTATTTCTGAAACATCCTGTAAAGGAAACAAAATGTTAAATTCAACGGGAAGTTACGCTGTGACAAGCAATTTTTATTCTTTTTAAGAGGCAGATCATTTTTAACTTCCCTCGTTGATATCACCGGGTGTATAGCAAAAACCACCACGATGAAATTAATTATTTGTTTCAAACCCAGAATATCTCCTATTTCTTTTAAGACTGAAAAAAAACGTAGTTTATTGTCGGACGAAACGGGGTCGATCAGTTGACATTCTCTCGAAGCTCACTGAAAACAGCGCGCCAAGTCCTCAAATTCCGTGATCGATTTTCAAAACTGAATGCAAATGTTTTTCTTTTCATTTCTCGTTACTGTTCTCTCGACACATCAAATTGTCCATGAATTTTCCCCATTAAAATTGGATCTTAGAATTCCATGAAGAAATTAGTGTCTTCTTAAACATTTTAGTGTTGAGGGCCCATTAACCGATCTTTTCGAGCCGTTGCTAAGGAAAATTTAGTCTCATATAACCTCATCATTTTTAGTTAGTTCAGAGTTATTTCATGTGTTTCAACTTTTTCATGATCAGTAACACCAGTGATGACGTCATCAGGCCACGCCCATGGTCATGTGACTAATACAGAAAAAATGCAAAGGCTACCAGGCAAATTACTTTCTCGGGATTTTTTTCATTGATTTAATATTTTAATTTAAATCCTCATTACGATATGCATCGATTTTGTTTCATTTCTAAAAGGTCAGATTTTGAGAGCATTTCAAAATACTGAGAAATTCGTAATTTTCTGAAAAAAGCATGATTTCGAGAAAGGAATGCATAGTTATGTTGCCAACGTTGGCTTTAATCGAAATTCGTCGAAGAAAGAAAGAAAGAAAGAAAGAAACCGGAAGTGCGCCCGATATCTATTGGAAGTTACCCTATCAGCGCGTGCGCAATTTATACTACCAGCGCACTTCGGTAAGATCAAACAAAGCCACAAGGCGTTAATTTTTCTCTTTCTATTGCTCTTGTTTTTCTGTCTTTCTCTTATTTTGTCTTTGCTTGAACTTTTTTTACTTTGCATTTTGCGAAACACAGAGAAAAACATCTAAGATGTATGCGAATTTGCAAGTTTTTGAGTTGTTTTTATTTTCTGTGCTCAGGCTGACGTAAGTGACCGGAAGTGAAATTTCACCTCCTTAGCAACGCGCGCGAGTGCGCGCATGAATCGGTTAATGGGCCCTTAAGCATCTCTTTTACGACGTATGTTTCTCGAGGTCTGCAGTTTCTTGGCGACAACGTCTCTGAAACGACGAGTAAAAATGCGCAACGACACTACATATACCCACAAGAGGTTTATTCTCGTTTCTCGAGTGCACAGGTGTAGTTAAATCTCTTAAGTAAAATTACATGTAAACTGGAAAATCTACTGATCGTATTCGATTGAAAATCCGATCCATAGTGTTGTCCAATCAGAATAAGGATCGGCATCTGAGTCTCCGTTCAGACTCGCTCCAGCCAGCGGTGTACGTAAACTGCTCTGTTACGAGTCAAACAACCAGTGCTCGAACTTCAAAGTACACAGTGGCGAATCTAGGGAAGGGGNAGCAAAAGAACCCCCGCCCCCCACCCCTTCTTAGCTCAAGGTCTGGATCTGCCACTGGTACATACATGTGGTAAGGAGAGTGAATGATTATGCATTGTGATTTACAACACGAAACGACTGCCTTACGCCAAAATTTGATGGTATACTAACATTTGGGACTTTTTGTATCGGCTTGCTTGTTCATCTAGGTGTGTGCGGTGGGGCTTGCAACCGAAGCTCGGCAAGGTCGAATGAAACAGCTCCCTTCAGCTGTGTGTTAGTGGTCAACTTAACTTAACTTAACTTAACGTTTTCCAACTCCAGCCTATAGTTCACACTTGCTTATAATTAACAAACACAGGTTAGAACTCTGGCACTGAGTAAATTCGCGAAGCAACTAAGCAAGCAAATAATATTAAGACTGTAAGGAAGAATCGAACGTAAGTCACTAAAGCATAAATGTTTATTGCCCTAAGCTTTAATTGGAAAAGTGCTCAGTTCCCGGGCTAAAAAACCTACTATGACAGTTTTCCTTTTCAAGATTTTGGCTCACATGTCAGTGACAACTACACGTGCTGTCAAGGTTTTATGTTTTAAACCGATCCAAGATCTTTAAACTCGTTGTTCAGCGAGTGTTGCACGGCATTGTTCTGCAAAAGATAATAAAAGAGAGTTTTAATATATCACCTCAGAAAGTTCCTGGAAAACAGCTATCTCTTGCCATGGTAACGGTCTATTTCTGACATTTTGCTCTCAATGTGTTTTTAAACCGGACATTTGTTCAAATATTGAACTGAGTTTGGAGTCTTAAGAAGTTAAGGTGATTGTTCAAAAAGCTTCTTGCTCACGTACCGTGCACAGACGGGTATAAACTAATGACCTCAGTCCATAAGTGAGTCAGAGGATAATTAGAAAGCTTTTTAAGGCCGAAGGTTCACATGCAGAGAAGAGAAAAAGGGGAAAGAAAGACTGGGGAAATTGAACAACAAAGCGTGCTACCTAACAGTGTCGGAGATAACACTTGGACAACTCATTCCGCCAAAAACGACGCATGCTGTATGTATTGACGTGTTTTGACTATTCTTGTGTGCAGCACAAAGGGATCGCGTGGTCCTTTGTTTAAAAAGATTTGAAATCAGAGCCACAGATCTTTTGCACACAAAACAAATTGTCCTCTAATTTGATATGATAAGTGTTATTGTCAAGACAGCGAATTCAGTGAAAACGATGTAACCTAATTGCTCCGCTAAATCACTCGACTATCGGTGATAAGCCAAAATTTTAGTTCAGGTTTGAAAGAGTTAGTGGCTCAGTTTGAGAAAGTAATGCTCATATTAAAAGTCTTTTTGCTCGAAAACCGTCATTCATGACATCGCTAATAAACCTCTGACTTTCCTTGGGCCCTGCGTTCGGTCGAGTCAGTCACCAAACAGAAGAGGCTTTTTCCCTTCGCTGGCAAAGCGAAGAAATTTTGATCCAAAGCGGACTTGACAAAGGAACAAAAGACCATTCTATAGAATGTTTACAGAAGTCAAATCGTTTTCAAGGAAATTCATGACATTTTAAAGACGTTACAATTATACTAATGCCACATTTTTGCATCGGAAAAGGAAGACAATATAACGTCTCTAGGAAACCAGATTTGCCACCGACCATGTCTCATAGTATTTATCTTGGAGAATAATGAAATATTTTCTAGCTCCGCGTTTAGGCTGCTCAATTTTATCCGATGGCAGTGGCGATTTCGTCCGGCATTTTGCGGAGTCAGCTGCGAGATTAATTCACATGACAGGCTAAACGCCGCGGAGTTTACAAAGGAGAACAAAATTGATTCGGCCTCTGAAGACGTCGTCTATTGTTTGATGCAGCTGGCATATTTTAATTAGAGTTTGCTTAATAATTCTTTTGTGAAAGGAGCTGTTGTCAATAGAGATAACATATGGACTTAAGAGAGGCCATAAGGAAATATAGGCACAGGAAGGGATGCTCGCAAACATTTCAGGTATTTTTCGCGGTTCATTTTCCCTCATTTTCTCCTTCACTTGTTTGTAACGTTTCGCATCAGTGGCGGCGCTTAAGGGTTCATAAAAACCGAAACAGAACGATTTCAAAACAGCGATAACATCATTTCTTGCTTCCTTTCAATGATGTTTCGTGAAGTTGAAATCTATGTCAAAATTTGCATATCGGGAAAGTTGTGCTTTTTCGGCGGAATGGCGAAACAGCTCCTGCTATTTAGGAATAAAATTTCCTTGTTTTCCCGTTCGAGACTACTCGCCAGTGGGATCAAGTCGTGGCGAGGTTTCAAAAATTTTCCGTTTTCGTGTGTGACACACATGTACTCGTGAGTAACTAAACAGAAAGCAGGTTCGAAAATTACTTGCAAGCGGTCTGACTGCGTTCGTTGTGTTCTCGGTGAATCTCGACACAACCTGTCGTTTCACCAAGCATTAAATTTTCAGATATCCGGAGAAAAGCTTCCTTCGTAAGGAAAACAATATCTTAGAGTTTCACGATCGTTCATTATTGATGTGGTTCGCGATTATCTCAGGTAGTGGCGTTTTTGCCAGAAGGACATCTGCTAAGATTTTAATTAGCTGGCGAAATTCGCTGCATCGAATAACTTGTTGTCAACTGAGGATCGAGTTTGAAGTTCGATGCACCTGCGAAGCTAGTGGTTTGGAAAAACAATGGCTTACATCACAGTACAATTGAGATTTCTTTTACAATGTTATCGTTCGACCCAGACCTTAAATCGAGCAATATCTTGACATTGTTTGTAAATAAAAGGGAGTAAGCATCGTGTACCGAACAAAATGCGTTATTCTTGATGACATTAAACCATGCTTTGTGGCACGAGTTTTACACCCAAAGAAAGCAAAAAAATCGTTAAATTCTCAATTAGCTTCCGATCGGTGGCGATTTCCTGCTTTCCTATTGGTCGAGACTTTTAATGGTTACTCCATAACATTTGCAGAGTTTTTCCCACAGGCTGGTCCGTGAATTTAAGGTGTTTTCCAACAGATTTGATTCGACTGAAAATAGGCGAATTTTTTAAGTTATATTTTTCGGCTGCAATTCGACCGTGCAAAGGAAAAAAAAAAGTTTCAGTCGACATAAATTATACACGAGGAAGCATGCCATTTTGAACAATAAAATATTCGCCCATCTGGCGTGTAATGCATGCATTCTACTGTGAACTATATCCAGCGGTTTATATTTTTAAACGGCAACTTGACAAGAAGACTTATGTAAGAGTAGTCAAAGAGTAACTTGATCAAACAGGGCATCAATTTGAACGCCAATTCATTTGGTTGTGGAGGCCATTAATTACGTAAGACACACGGCACATCAAAATTCACTCCAAATCAGAACTGATAGAGTCACAAGCAACTAGCAGCTGCTTGCTGCTGACGGCGTTATCCACCGGTGGGGAAAATACTACAGCGAGGGAAATACAGGCGCCTATTTAATAGTTTGAAATGGATTTGCGCGTCGTTCACGGTGCCAATTCTCTCCCAGGAAGTATGTTCGCCCCTCGAATGGACAGCCGAGGTGAGCCGCAGTTCGTGGATTTCAGAAGCAGGGAGCCAGAGAATTTGAGTAGAGCAGATGTCAGGCACAAGCCTTTCATTCAACCAGTTTACAGAACAGCCAAGGACCTCGATAGAAGACAAACAATCACGCAGGTTGACCGGCATAACGGAGTTAACCGACCTGAGTTTACGAGGTAAGCTAGCGAAGCCCCATAATACCCAGGCGGATTATTAAAAAATATATATATTGTGAGTGCTCTTGATGACTCGAGAAATAATTGAATTAGAAATCGGCTTTGAAAGCAGCTTTTGTCCCCCCTCCGAGATTTACCTATACAATGACCCTCCAGGGTAGAACAGTAAATACTACAAGTTATTTACCTTTTCAATGGTTATCAACTAGTGGGCGATTCGTATTTGAGGATTTTACGAGGCAAGATTTAATTCCATCTCTTGCTGAAATCTTCAATTTGAATTTTGCCATGTCTTTATTTTCGATGTATTATTAATATCGCATTTATTTGTTTTGCTATGTTTGTCATCGAATTCAATGAAAAGTACATATTTGTCGAGGTCGTACAATTAGCTGGCGAAAATTGCCCGAACTGGGCAGTAAAAATTGTTTTCGAAAAGAACAATCTTTATGTTGAAGGTGTATCTCATACACAGTTTCAGCCCTCTGTAATATACAGAGTCGTGCAATTAATTTTTAATTACAAGCAACGTTTGAATAAATGATTAAGGGCAGAGTAAACTGGTAATTACTCTCGCAAAAAAAAGTGTTTCGGTGACTGACTTTGTAACATGAAAACGGAGCCAAGATGAAGCGACATTCAAAATCGTTAGATCGGCGAGATAATCAAGCAACTCAGCAATCAGCTGCTCTGATAAAAAGTGGTGTTGATTCACTAGTGCCTATCTGCTTCCCTTCAGCTTCTTTTAATCATAATTTCATAACACAGGTCATGAAAACGACGGACCTGATAATATCACGTTAAAAAAAAGAATAGATATCATATTTTGAAAAATGTGTATGAAAATGATAGCAGGTTTTTATGGTGACCTTGAGAGGTCGACCTAGAGAGTTAGTATTTTCAGTACTGTGCATGCCATAAGCTGCTTGGTCAGCAGGCAGGCAGATGGAATATATTACTTGCAATACCGTGTTTTACTACTGTTATAAACAGATACATTCGTACATCCCATCTGGATAGATTTTCACTGGATTTATCAAGTTGTGACAAAGTCGCGTATCATTTACGTTGTTCACTCTAAAACAATTTCAGTTCTTTTTCATCTTTTGCTACTTTTCCTCCCGCTAAAGTTGTTCAAGGACTTGTTTTATGCAGAATTGGAATTCAGATGCAAGGAATGTATATAGATTTTTAGGTCGTATGGCAGACGACCGCTAAAAAGCCGTAATTCGTGTTTACGAGCTCATTAAATTTCAGGCTGAATTACATGGCTTACAAATAATTAACTTTATACATAAATAATATCTTTCCGGCGTGATATAGTATAGTTTCCTTCTGGGTTCAGCTCAAAGACCTCATGTTTACCCAGCTACAGGTCAGTTCACAATATCACAAAGGCAAAACAAACACATTCAAGGCCAATGTTTTCTTCAATGTTTTGCATCGACTAAAAAAAAAAAAATAACATCCAGCTTTAGCCATTTGCTACATAGTGACATTTGGTTGGAGTAAAATCTTCGTCTTGAAATCTCGAGTTTGTGTGCGAGATCGTGATTGGCCAAGTGGAGCGTGACGGAACGATACATATAGCTCCAAAGGTTCATGTGTATTCTCTGCTTTCATTTCAAGGAACTGGTAGATAAAGACTTCACTCAGACAAAATTAAAACATACAGTCTATCAGTTAACTCCACTCATTGCTTTAGATATACCTAGATTTAAATGTGAACCCACCATTTGTCACAGGGTTAAGTCAATTATAGCGCCAGAAATTAGCCCTCGTAGAAGACTTGTTTTTTTCAAGCCAAAATATCAGGCTACATATCAAGTTCAATATTGTTTTATCGATCTTGTTTTTGTTTCTCTTCTGGCAACTGCATGCATTAAAAAAAGCAGAAATCTCTTCTGCCAACTTGGGAGAAAGAGGGAAAACGGCATTAAACGAAATGTGCGTGAACGCATTTCTGTAGTATTGTACATGACAGCAATAGTGTGAGAAACGTATCACTACATGCACTGTGGTCCTAGCATAGCAGTCCTTGTCAATGCCTTGCTCAGCTTCATAGTCTTGTGAATAAAAACTGGATCATTGGATAATGCAATTCAAGAGTGTTTATTAGTTTAGCGATCAGGGTGTAGGATCACTTGTTATAAAACTTGGGTTTAGTTTAGTCTAATGTGAGCTCCTATTGGTTAATTTATGATCTCGTGGCAATGGCTAAACCTATATGTCGCCCGCTCTCCCAACAACCAGAGGTTACTTTGACTTCTTCTTGCCGTTGTTACTTTACATTAAACTCCAGCTATATAACAAAACACTTAATTACTGGTCCCGAGAATCGCGAAACATCGAGATTCTTGAGAAAACAAAATTGTTTCCCTCAGGGGCAATGATTTAAGCGTATACTACAAATAATATAGGCATACGCGTAATTCTTTCGGACATTTTTATTTTAATTTTCTATATTTTGGGGGCGTTAATCCTGAAAACAGTTGTTCCACTCGCGCTTGTTGGATATGAGATGATTTAAGTCAACTCGGCGCTACGCGCCTTATTGGCTATCTATATTTTTGCTCGCGCGCGATTGGTGTAAACGTGTCACGTGACTGAATATGTCCTAGCTAAAACTGGGGAGTATCCGAGTGAAATACCTCAATTTTCTAAACTGCGCGGGTTGAGAAAAACATTTGAAGTCAGGTGAAGTATAATAAACATGCCCTCCATTTGGCGCGAAAATATGCTCGGATATCTGTTCTTGGACGTTATGTGTTTCTCAAAGCTCACAGTTTTCCTTGAGCTACGCTCGGACGATATAATGTCCGCGGTCAAATGTCCTAACATATTTTCGTACGAAATCGAGGTTATTGTTTATATATCCAACGCGCGCTCGTGGAATAATTGTTAATTTCTATACCAAATCCATTCGCCAGTTATTTCTCAGACAAGACACATGGTTCATAGAGGCACTGCAGGGGACTGGTTTGATACCAGCTAGAGTTGGAAAGGGACAAAACCTCCAAATAATGGGACAAACCCAACAAATCTGAGATTATGGATGGTAAAATGTTATTTGTACCTTGGGGAACAACGTGGTGGAAATGAAAAAAAAAAAAAAAAATTAGAAGGAAGCCAGGGTCAGTAAGATGGCTGGTAAGTTGTCTTGAGAAGAATTTCAACTGAGGCTTAATTCAACAGAAATAAATTCCAGGCTTTTGTGTTCTGTACACCTGGAAACGTGTAATAAATTGACTATTACTGGTCCTAAAGTGTATGCAAGTTATACAGTCTCATATGTACCCAGTAAATGACACCCAGCTTACCTCGAGCCAACCTCGTTCCCAGGGTCTTTTTTCCCCACCCCCAAGCCAGGGAAAAGACCCTGGGAACAAGGTGGACCTCGAGCCTCATGTGTCAAACAGCCAAGGGATCCGACGAGAACCGATGTCAATTCGGGAACATTTCGGACATTTTCGGAAAGATTCGGCTATCTTCGTTTTATTACGAGAGAGGAAACGTCTGTTCGGATTGCGTTTGTGAAAATTTTGGAAAATCTGGTGCTGGAGGTAAAGACTAAAAATTTGCAGCAATCTTTCTTCTCCTGATAATCTAACGGCTTATAATATGACAGAAAGTGTCAGAAAATAAACGCACGTCTTCTTATGTTAGTTAACAGTGCTCACTTTACATCGATTGACTTTATTTAGCTGACTAAATAAAACTCACATGTTTCTCATAAATTATTGAAGATTGAAGGCACAAACCAAGTTGAACGCTACGTTTGAATACATATTTTAATTTTCTGTCTATGAATCGTCGGCAACTTATTTCGGGCCATTGGTAAAGTGTCACTGGTTTTTAGAATTACTGGAAGCGGAAAGAGATTCTGTAAAATGATCTTCAACCGGGAAGATTCGTCCTAATAAGGATTGAGGCAGCTGATTTCCTCGCCAATGAATATTCATTGAGCCCCCGAGCAGACAGTTAAAACCATCTGCCTCAGCGGATTGCACAAATAATTCTATCTTGAGTTGAACCGAGCGGTCTTTTAAGGAAGACAATTTAGCGAGTTCATGATCACAGGGGCTCACTAAGTACACACGTCGAAGCGAGTGGTCGCCGTTGGTTTGCCACTTTGGAGACAAAATGCCTCAACACAAACCTGGCGGAAAGAGCGACAAACGGCAGAAACCGTGCTCAAGCGAAACGTTAAGGTCACTTTAGCTCAAAATTTTATTGATATATTCTAGACCAGTTGAGTTAGCAGTTAGCACTGAAGCGACTACGCGCGACAGGTTTTAGTGACGCTGTGTACAAATCTACTTCGCTATTCGCCGCTCACAGCCCTTTTAGGTAGAAGGCCGTAACGCTTCTTAACAAATGCGTTCAAGCTTAGTTTAGATTTGTTCTAAGGTCCATACGGATTTTTATTATTATGCAATTACTTATTCAGTTACATTATGGCTTCTCCGGACATTTCCGCGGAAGATGGGTATAATGCACATCTGCCATTCACGGAGAAAAATCTTCTTTTTTTTGTAATATTATCAGAAATATTCGCGAATGATTCTTCCTCGCAATTGCACGCACTCCTTTGTTAAGACTCTCCAGAGCGCAGATGGGACCGCGAAAATCTCTTTAAAACTAGCAGGAACCTTTTTTTGTTTTGTTTTACACGCTAAACAAGTTGTAACGAGCAACTATTCAAATACAGCTGGCGTATCTAATGCATATGCAACGAGAATACAAAATATACTTGCGCGGCCCGAAATCTACATATAAACAGGTACCAGGTATTCATTTTCGACGCCTTGAAGAAAGGCAGGAAATTCTAAGCACGCTAATGACAATCAGCGTGACTCACAAGTGAGAACGTTTTCTATAGGCGACAAGAAGTAACGGGCGCGAGGTCGCCTGTGAAACGCAGAAAATAAAGAATAACAACTTAACCGGATTTTGCGACGTATAAAATATAATAATTATTTCGGGTCTCGGGCAAGAAAATGTCTCAAAAATCTTAAGGAAGGAGTACTATTTGCAGTATTAATTTAAGCGCAGTTTGTGATAACATTTGGAGACTTTGATTATGTTTAGATGACTTTAAACTGCTTTTCCGAGCCTAAAGCAAATCTTTTAAAACCTCAAACAAAATTACACTTTGTTATTTACTGGTGATATAAGCCAGAATTTTTCTGTATATTCACGCACAATAGTTCTCTTTTCTCTATTTTTTTCGTTAATCACAGTTAAGTCTTTCCAAGTTTTCAATTCATCCTTTGAGAAACCGAAAAGGAAATGTGACTTGAAATGCAAATCAAAAACAACTTTTTTCTGCCTAAGGGTAAAATAAAACTAAGATTTTCACTCCTGATTAAAAGACCTTTTCGTATTGTACGAGACTATTCTAGTTACACTTTCAAATGCACGCATTTTATCTGTGCAATGATCTCTAAAACCAAAGTTATAATTTTAATTTGTATAAATGTATATTTGAAAAGCTAAGAAAGAAACAAAGAAAGAAAGAAACGGTTATATGGGTCCAAAGCTACCAAACTTAGACGACTTTTAACGTAATCAAGTTTTGAATTTTACCGAAACATAAACAGTATTCTATAAATGCTATTCCGACACAAAGTACTAAACGAACCGGCTCTTAACAACAGCCTGTGAAATAAAACATCCGTTTATCGGAATCAAATCGCTTCAAAGGACGGTTTTAATTTAATTGTGAATTTTTTTTTTTTTACCATAGCTCGATGTTATTCAGAAATTGTCTCGTGAAAACCGCCGGCACTTTAAGGATATTGTTTTAATTTCTTCAGTATTTTTATATGTTATTTCAAGCGATAGTCCTCTTTCGCCAGGTTCTTAATTTTATTGCTTTGACGTCTTTCTGTGATCTCTTTTGATTGGTAAATGATTTCTCATAAGTCTTAACGCTGAAAGATCATTAATTTACTACCTTTGTATGTCCATAAGAAAACTGAGGTCATATGGTGAATTAATATGTCAAACGTCCTAAAAGTCATTTTCCGTGGACAGTACCTATTATATCAAGTCTCGCAGAGCGCGGTTGTTTCTATTTCCCAAATAAGCATCCTAACAATTATCTAAAATTGTATAATTTAAAGATAAATTTTCGCATTTTGCCCATAAACTGTTGGATGTTTCGTGAAAAATTATGTGATCGAAAGCAGCCTAACAAAAAGTCACCCTTGATGTGATTATTTCATTTGCAGTAACGAAAAACAAAGCAAAAGGCACATTTTGTCTGACACTACTTTCCTTCATTCGTAAGAGGAAAACGTTCAAAAAATCGCTTCCCTCCTTCCAATCATCCCTTGCGTGTTACAATGTTTTCATGCAAGCGAGTCGTGGGCGAGTCGGGTAATCTCACCAAATGCAGGAATGGAATGTAGAGGGGAAGGCGGGGCTATAGGGGCTCCCTAGATGGATCACTGGGATCTCAGGGGTGGGGGGGGAGGGGGGAAGTAGAAACATATAAAAGCCAAACGAAAAAATAATCTCATTTTTACGTACCCATCAAAATAAAATCATCTTCGTTTTATTTTACAGTTTATCTGATGTGTACGAAGGCGCCCTTCGTAACGTGTTGGGAATACAGCTTCATCTGACGCTGGATGATCAACAGTCGTTTACACAAGACGCCATCAATGATCTCCTTTTCCGTGACAAGCCCTCACCTGGTCATCACAGGGGGCTACGACAGGATCAGAAGAGGAGAAACGAAAACCACCAAAATGGTCGCCAAGGCGACGAAAACAAAGACTTGAAAAACCCAGGCTCCTTCCAAGGTCGTACGTTTTTAAGAGACCCCCGGAGAGTTTCTCCAGGAGGCTCCGCATTCCATGTCCCTCCAAAAAAAGCACGTGTAGACGAAGACGTGCCGTACCCCGAAAGGGGATTTCCTGTTGATCACTTTGGCATTGCCCCAAGGATGAACTTCCCGCCGGACTATCCAAACTCCTTTCCTTCTCCGAAAGGACCCCCGGGCATTTACCACCGACGGGTTAACGCGCCAGAAGCCGTAAGGCACGTTTACGGAACAAACGGAATACACATCCCGTCACCTCGAGATCGTTACGCGCTATGGCCGTTCGGGCATCATCGGGATATTTCTTCGGTGTTTCCGGTGCGCTGTTCGTCAGTTGAAAGCGACCGAATGTTTCATCACGGGGTTCTAGAGGAGGAAAGGCGACGAAATATGGACTTAGCACGTGTAAATGGGTTTATGCACGGCAAAACAGTCGTTCAGGTTAAAAACGAAAAGGAGACGAAAGACGAAATCGTCAAACGAGACCAAAAACCAAGTCCCATCGAAAGACGGAGCACTTCGATTCCAGGGAAGGAGGCAGGACTTGAGCGAGGAATGGAAAGAGAGAAGCTATCGCCTTCTTCGCCAAAATCCAAGCCGCCTAACGCTTCATTGACTTCATATCGATCAAGTCCCACTAACGGGGCTGTAGATTTTCGAATGGAGACGCGCTATCGCAGCGCGCTAAGAAGACTTGAATCAAGGAGAGATGGAAAGAGAGGAAAAGGCGAGGACGCCAAGGAGGAGTTTCTTTTCAAATTGGGACTGGAGCGAATCGAGGCTTGAGACTAGGAATTGCAAATTAAATACGACGTCAGAAGTTAAAGAAGAAGTTATGTAACCGGACCATGAACAATCGATGGCCACTACTACTAAAGAGTCGAAAGATGGTACAGAACAGTCCTTCCCTCCGAGATTCACCTTTGCGAGACAGGATGACATGTAGCGCGTCATCAAGTGTTGAAAGAAGAATTGCGCACGAATGCATTGTACAGGAGAGGAGTTCGTTCGCTGACAATGACTTATTTGAATTGGCAAGATACCCCTACTTACCTGGTGGGGGACGGGGATAATGGGACTCTGTAAACCCCTGGGGTCCTGGGGTTTTGCTTTGCAGTCCAGAAACCAAACCTCTCTTTGGATCCCGAATCGAGATATTTATAAAAGAAACTTTAGTAGGGACTTCAAAGGGCTCTTAGATACTCTGAAAGCATTTGCTTATAACGTTGTGGAAACAACTTACCGCAAACGTTCCTTAGTGTAACTTTACTTTATGGCATTTTGCTGAGATTGACAGACAAAAAGCTTTTATCTCTGATCCATGTCCTTCGAACGAAAAATTTGTAGTCAGGTTAAAAATTCCTTCGCTTATTAGAATTGTTATGTGTACATAACATCTAGGACGTTGCTCTCTGAACCAAAATAAACACCTTATAATATTGTTGCTAGTTAGCACCGAGGACAACAGTCCCTCTGTGAACGCTAATATACCTCTACTGTGACATTAGTCCGTACAGAACAGTGATAGTCTCTTCTTAATAAACCTTAGCTCTTCCTTACTTGCGGTTGTTCTTATTTATTATATTTCATTCGCATATTCCGTTGATCGTCATAGAGACAGTTACGATAAGTCGTATAAGAGTGACGATAGAAAGCAGTAAGTAAGTAGTGAGTGAGTTAGGACACTTTCCAGTTGCTCGTTTTTTCCCCCTATTCCAAAATGAAGGGAGGTATGAGTTTGTTTTGCACTTAAATTACCGTGTATACCAACGTTTTTTCTAACGCACTAACGGATCCGTCGCGCCCGCGAATTCCAGTCACGAAGCATATGCGGTAGGCAAATCACAGTATATAGAGCGTTTTCTTATAACGTCACGGCAGTGATATTGCATTTTGGTGTTCTAAGACAATGAAACGGCGGCCATGTTAGTGTATCAAACCAGTCTTGTGGGAGCTGAACTTTTTTCAGTCTTATGTAAACACTTCCTTTTGTTTCACTAAATGTGCATGTGTGCTGGCCACGTGGGTGAAAACTCTCTATAGCCTTTCGTAATTCGCCACTTTAGAAAAGAGAAGAAATCTGGGACGAATACTATCTTGCACTTGTTTGTGGGACCTCTACTGGAGGTAATATGGATTGCCATCTTTTGTTTTGTCTTCAGTATAAACAGTACCACAAACAACTGCAAGATGGGATTCACTCTAGCCAGCTTTTTTCCCTTGTTTCTAAAGTGGCGAACAGAAAAGGCTGGGAAGCATCAGTCAAGTTAGTCCCACGGCCTTAGCGACACAGAGACTTAAAGAAGCTCGTGTTCGAGCGAGATGACTGGGAACGACTCGATCCGGATGAGGTCAACCAAGTGGCCTGTTTGTGCAAAATGGCAAAGCGTGATGGTAATTGTTATTGCCGCTCAAAGCACTCGATCATAGAGCCTGCATTACTTTTGGCCAGCACCCAGAACACGGACTCTGTACGGGTCCGCAAATGATCCGAGGACCGCAAATGATCCCGGACCGCAAATGATCCGCAAATTGGACCGCAAATGATCCCGGACCGGAAATGATCCCCATTTTGGACCGCAAATGATCCCGATCAACAAATGGGGAATGGCATGGATGGTGGGATGGTGTGGATAGAGAATTGGCGTACGTGAATACCGATGTTTTTATTCAAGCCATCTTATAATTATAATGGCTTACAACTTGATTTTTTTTTTTTTAATACTTTCGACTAAACTTTGTTGCTAACTACGATGTTGTGAATATCACCACTCAATCATCAAAACACGACTTGGCTTACATTTCTTTGCAATTCTCAGTAAAATTATGATCAGTGCAACATACGCTACATGTCCTCCTTTGTTACACATTGATATTTCGGTGTTATAGTTAAATCACATTTTATCAGCAATTAACGCCACTCGTCCAAAGTTTTAAACTAAAATCTAACCATGAAGCAACTATTACAGAAGACGCTGTCACCTGAGTAGACCCACAAGCCTACAACGCTTCATCACTCTGT